AAAAAAAAAAAAAAAAAAAAAAGAATGGGAGTACTAGATAACAAGGCTTAAAGTTATAGTAATTAAAATAGTAAGTCACTGGTTCAGGAAGTACAAAAAGACCAAAAGACAGAGAGCAGAGAAACAAACTTATATAAGAACTTAAGTATAATACAGAAGTGACCTTAAAAATTAGCAGAGAATGGATGGGGTAGTCAATCAGTAGAGGAGGGACAACTGGCTAACCACAGAGTAAATAGTAAAATTAGACCTCTAACTTCCACCATACAACAAAATATTCCAGATGAATTAAAGACCCAGGTAGGAAAAACATAAATATATTTACATTCCCTACTGGACTGTAACCTCCTTAAGAGTCTATCTTATATAATAGTGTATTCAACCCTATTTAGCATATACAAATACTTGTAGAGATGAGGGCTCGCCAAGTTGCCCAGGCTGGTCTAAAACCCCTGAGTTCAGGCAATCCTCTCACCTCCGCCTCCCAAAGTCCTGGGATTACAGGTGTCAGTCACCGCGCCCGGCCAGTACATTTTAAAAAGAAAAAATAAGGAATATTATATTCCAGTGTCCTCACTGAAAAAACTCTTTAGCCTGGCGCTCTAAACAGGTATGGTGTTCCTTCCTCCATTTGCACTCATTGAAATCCTACCTATCCTTTAAAGATCTTTTTCTATTAGTCATTTGTGGAGGTTAAGGGACGACGGATGCTGTATATAAGAGCAGACAGGTCACAGGAACACGATCAGATACAAATAGGTTCCAACCACTTATGGGGGTAGGAGGGTCGAAGAATCTGTGGGGGCTGGGTCTTAAGGATCGGCGGGGCAGGAGCGGTCGGCTCGGGAGAGATTTGAAGGATGCTGGGCAGGAAGGAGGTAAGATGCGACTGAAAGAGGGGAGCAGTACAGTACCTTTCTCATTGCGAACTGGGACGGCCCCAGCCGTAGACTGAATGGGCGGCTGCTTCATGAGTGCGCTTGGGACCGACATGTTGATGGCAGCGGCGGTGGTTCCCGAAACCTGACTGATTCCAAACACTGAACACCAACAACGTCAACGAACAGAAAAACTCCTTTCCTCCTAGTTCCCCGAACACTGCTGCGCGACTGATAGAGAAACCTCCTAGGGTGAGCTAGATAAACCGGAAATGCGTGAAGAGGGGATTGTGGGACGGTGGAGGCCGCTTGGGCGCCACGGCTTGAAAGTCGACTCTGTTACTGCGCATGTTCACAGGCTGCCCTCGAGTCCTCAGTATTGCCGGATTTGGACTTTGCTGTTAAGTCACTGCGGTGAGGAAGGTCTGAATGAAAGGTTTCATGTGTTAGCTTGGTTTGACGCCAAGTAAAACGGGGTAGTGATGAGTAAGAAACTGAGGCGATAGTGAAATACTGTTTTCTAGATTGTTGATAGTTCGGAAGAATTAGTTTGATAGAGTAAAGATCTGGCCAAAGGCACCTGATTAGTTCTGTTGATGAGGCCAGGGTGGGCTGTGGCGCAGTGTTTCTTGTCACACAGGGCAGATGGTGGTGGTTTAGGCTAGTGACAAAAACAAAAAAACTTCCCCGGGGGCTGGGATATTACCTGAAATCCCACCACTCCACTTTTTTTTTTTAATGTGGGGTACAATTCAGAGTTAGGCACACAAATGGTCATTATGCAGGTACCCTTGTTGATGAGGCGTTCTCCCCCACCCCTCAGCAGTTTCTCACTACTGCCAATCCCTTTCTTATAGTATGAAAATTGTTCAAGGTCCGCTTATGAGTGAGAACATGTCAATACTCCACTATTTTTTTTTTTCTTGAGTTGGAGTCTCACTGTCGCCCAGACTGGAGTGCAGTGGCCGCTCCCGGCCACCACAGCCTCAACCTGCTGGGCTCCGGGGATCTTTCCGCCTCAGCCTTCCCAGTAGCCGGAACTACAGGCGTGCGCTACCACGCCCGGCTGATTTTTGATTTATTGTAGAGATGAGGTCTCGCCAAGTTGTCCAGGCGGGTCTCGAGCCTACGGGCTCAGGCATTATACTCACCTCAGCCTCCCAGGCGCGGGATTACAGGCTGAGCCATCAAGCCCGGCCAACACTCCACTTTTAGACTTTCAAGTTCTTTCAGTTTCTAGAGACCTATTAAAATGCATTCCAGGCTATCAAGTGTTTGTATTTAAGTTCCTGAGTAATTATTTAGTACTTGTGTTTACTGTGCTTAGGGAATCTGAAAGGATTATGGAATATTGTTTAAAGACCTGTGTCCTGAAGAAGCTTGCATCTTTTTTTTTTTTTTTAGTTGGAGTCTCACTCTGTCGCCCAGACTGGAGTGCAGTGG